CTCAGCAGGGCAGACAGCAGGTGGGAATCTGGGTCTAAAAGTCCTGACTTTAGGTGAGTATTCATTTAATGGACTCTTTTCTAGCCATATTCTCTTGAGAGAACCTTACGGTTAGTTGATGGGGTATTTAGAATCCTTGTTATAGCCTCATCAGTGACTGACCTCATCAGCCCCATACCTAGCTCCATGATGAAAGAGGTAAACTTCTAGGAGAAGGAGGTTTCTGGATCAGAGACAGTCATTATCCTCCACCTAGCAGCTAACACAGGGCCTGGAACATGGAAAGCCCTCAGTAAATGATCCATTGAATCAATGTTGGTTGAGAAGTGAGAAAATGAGTGGCCGTGTGAGAAAGAAGTTGAGGAGACTAAGTCAATATGAATCAAATAGAGGATATTGCAGGACTGGGGTTTGTGCTTGAGGGAATAAAGACCGTTGGGGTTTGGGGAAGAGGAGATTCCTGCAGGCTGATGTTCCTGAAAGGGCAGGCCTCCCTTTGCAGTCCTGGCTCTGATTCTCACACTCCGTCAGTGCTCCAAGCCAAATATCTGGGGCTTGGAAGGACCCCACACTAGGGAACTGTGCCAATGGAGAATGAAGGCAAAGCCAGAGTTATGATCATACTGGGCCTGGTGCCTAGATCCTCACAAAGAAAATGTGCTCTTCAAAATAAGTGATTTTCTGGAAAGCAAAAAAAGTCTGCAATGCTAATTTGTATCACAAATAGCCAGCCAGGTAGATGGACAACATTTTAAGAGAAAGGTATCCAACGAAACAACAGAAAGTGCTTTTTTGCACGTGTGTGTGTGTTTTAGATATTCCCCTTATATCTCTATCACAAATACATGCCTACATTTTTTCTAGATATTTTAGGTTGCACTACTTACATTTAATTTTAATAATAGCTAACACTTTTTGAGGTTTTCCTACATGCAAGATCCTGTTGAATCCATATGACAGTCCTTTAATGCAGATCATATCATTATCCCTATTTTTCAGATGAAGAAAATTGAGGCCTAGAGAGAAGGGGAGTACATTGCTCAAAGTTATACAGCTTCTGCGTAGTATAGCCAGGACTCGAAATTAGACAATCTATTTCCAGAGCCCACTTAGCTACTGTACTAAATCAAGTTAATGCTTTAATTCTTACCTGTACAAAGTGAAAGAGGAAGAATTTGTGCCATTCAATTGGAATTTTTGCATCCCTGACTCTTGTAAGTACCTATATTGGATTGAAATACCTTCTTTACCATAGTCTACATATGAGTATACACATACCTATTTTTTAAAAATTTAATCTACTAATACCACACTTCTTCAAATACTCTAACTTTAAAATATTTAATGACAAAAAATCAATTCTTGATTCATTTTTCCTTTGCAATATCTCATTGTCTAATTTTGTCTATTTTTCTGGATACCCTTTGTAGTAGATGTCAGATTTTAGAAAAAGACAAATGCCATTTTGATTGGCTTTTCCCATTATGTTTATAAATTAGAGGAAAATTGAGAAATGTATAAGAGACAGTCTTTTAGAAGAGAAAATATTTCCATTCATGTTTCATTTATTTATAAAGAATTGTACTTTCTTTATATAACTGCTAAACATTTAGCTTTATTTAAACATTATATTTTGGGCGCTTTTTGAGTGAAATTTTTTTCCATTATATTTTCAGAATGGATATTGCTGTGATGAAGCTGCGCTGAATTCTTGTTTCAGAGAGACCTTTCAGTGATTTTCATACAGCAAACATATACCTCCTTGATAAGTAGTCATAAAGCCTCCACTCTTCTAATAGTTAAACCTCTTCTTTTCTAAAAATATAATTTCATTTTTTTTGTTAAAAAATTTTAATATTTTAAAAATATTTAGATAAGATTGATAGGTAAAATAAGAATACAAAAACCGGCAATAATTCCACGACCCAGATAGCACTGCTAATACCTTGATGTTGTTCTTTCACATATTTTACAAAACTGTGATTATGTGTACTTGGTGTTTTATAGCTTGACTTTTTAACCTGGTAATATAGCATAAAGCTTTTTTTTACTTATTAAAATACACTTTTATAACTCATTGTTTCAATAAATATTTCCTGAACATTTATTACATGTCAAAGCTGTGGTTGGTGAACACAATGGTGAACAAGATAGATATGGTTTCTGCTCTAAGGAGCTTACAATATAGTGAAGATAACAGACCTCAAACAAACAAACTAACGAACAAATAAGAAATAGAAGTAGTGGCTAACACAGAGCACTCAGCAAGAACCAGACACTGTTCAATAAACTTGTACCTATTAACTCAGTTCTTAAAACAACCTTATAAGGTAGGTACTGTTATTAAACCCAGTTTACAGATGAGTAAAGTATAAGAATGTTAAGTGTCTAGTCTAAACTTGCACAGCTAGTAAATGGTGAAGCCAGAGCTGGGATTTGAAGCAGTATTTCTAGAGGTCACACTCAATCTTTATTTTATATCACTTTCTATTACATTAAAAATATTGAATTATAATACATTTAATGCAGGAAATAAGATACTTTGCTAATGTATATAAGGGAAGGAGGGACATATTTCTAAAGGGGTGGTCAGAGTGTATTTTTTTCTGGAGGGCGTATTTATGCCAAAACTTTAAGGGTAAGAGGAAGCCAGACACTCAAAGAGCTGGGAGAAGACTGTTTCAGGCATATGGGAAAGTATAAAAAAGAACCCCATGTTTGGATAGAGCTTGATACGTTGGAAGGAAAAGAGAAAAAGGAAAGAAAGCTAGTGCGTTGTAGGGAAGGGAAAAGAATTTTACTTCTACTCTTCTAAGTTCTTCTGGCTGGACTAATAAATTAACCTGAGACAGATTAACAGCAGAAAATGACCAAATTTGTCATGTATGTGCATATGGGATTTTCATAAGAGAGTGAGACCTGAGGACACATTGGGCAGTTGGGGCTTATGTGCCATTCTGAACTAAGGAGAAAAAGGCAGGGGTCTGAGATTTCAAAGGGAAAGTAGGAGAGTCACAGGTAGATGAGAAAGAACAAACATGCGGTAAATAGATTCTTGCTGGGCCACACAACCAGTGGGACACAGAAGGGAGTCCAACAGACTTTTCCTGATTCTTCTCTATCTGCCCCACATAATTTATATTATGCTAAGGTGATAGCTCCCTTTCTTTAAGGAGATTTTTCTACCAGAATTTCTTTAGGCAGCTCAAGATTCTTTCTGAGCCTTTCATTTTTTAAAAGTAACCAGTTTTAAAATAATATCCTAAAAAAAAAACAAAAAACATATTTTGGAGTTGCAAACTCTGCCTCCCCTCAGTGTCCAGAGTGCAGAGAACGAGAGGGAGAGTGCTTCAGAGTGAGGTGGGAATGGCAGGCAAGTGCAATATCATTCAGGACTTTCTTGCCCACGAAAGGAGTGTGAATCTGATTCTCATTTCATGTGGAGTGTGAATGAGAGTGTGGCGAGGGTAGAAGCCAAATCAGACGAAGACCTCTGCAGCCATTCTACAGAAAGATGGTGTTGTCCTTGGACTAGGGTTCTCCGTAAGGGCATAAAGCAAGAAGTGGACAACAGAAACTATATTTTAGAGATAGAGTTTAGAAAACTTTCTGATAAGATTGGATGTGCAAGATTCAAGGAAGAGAGAATTGAGGATTCATTTATTTATTTGGCTAATATTAATTGAACACCCCAGTAGGTCAGGTCCTCTGGTGCTGGAGTGAGGAGGTGTTCTCTATACAAAGCCCTGCCTTCATGATGTCAGTAGGCACCAAGTAATATAATTTCAAGAAAGGAAGAAGCTAAGGAGAAAGTAAGGAGGGTAAGGAGACAGAGATCAACAGGTAGCTTCTTTTGGGTGGTAATCAGGAAGAACATCACTGAAGAGAACATTTAAGCAGAGATGTGATGAATGAAAGGAGTTAGCTGTGACTGGAATGGATACTCAGGAGTTGGGTTCAGGGGGTAGCCATGGACCAAATTATTAGGGCATTTTAGTCTTGGTAAGGCATTTAGATTTAATTCAAGTATAATAAGTTGACTTTAGGTGTTTGGGGGTAAAGAGGTGAGGTTGATTGATCTACATTTTATTTTTATTTATTTTTACATTTTATTAAATTTATTGGGTGACATTGGTTAATAAAATTAAATAGGTTTCAAGTGTGCAATTCAATAATACATCCTATGTATATTGCATTGTGTTCATTTTTTAAAAGATTATATTGACTACCTATAATGTATGCACGGACAGTGATTTTTCTTTATTTGTAATGCAATGCCCAGCTTAAGCTTTGAATTCCCAGACATCCACTTCAAAGAGGCATCCACTTCAAAAATTGCAGTCTCCAAAAACACACACTGCCAGCCACAAGGTTAAAGAGCCAGCACATTCCCCTCTCCTCTGTTATTTCCTTTGTTTTAGGTATCATTGTTGATTTTCATAACTGACCATTGGGCAGCTTGTTTTTTCTCTTTCTGTGATTTAAATTCCTGCTTTTATGTTTTAAGTCCATCAGTAAAGAATTAGCCCTTGAAATCCTAAGCCCCTACCTACCCTTGACCCCCCAAAAACAGAATCCCAGATCCGCGTACTCTCTCCCTCTCTCTCTACCCGTGACCTCACTGTGTGGCTCCAAATGTGCCGTGTAACTTGCAAGAGTTGTAAGTTAAGAGCTTTGTCTTTTTCAAAGTTTCCTGATGCTTATTGCTGAGAGTGTCTTGCAATCATAATAAGAACCACGGGGCCAGTCCAGCCACACATTGGTTACCGATAGGCTGAGACAGGAACAAAACTGTGGGACATAGTGACTCTAATGGACCCAAAAAGGTGCAGATAAACCAGCTCTCAGGCTATTGCAGTGTTGAAAGTACTGAGATGATAAGATTCACGATACACTTAGAAGAAAAAGCCCATAATGCTTGTTGATAAATTAGATATGTAAAGAGAGGAAGCAAGAGCGATTCCTGTGTTTTGGGCCTGAAGAACTGGTTGAATGATAATCTTATTAGAATAGAGAAAGAAACTAGAGGGAATGACAAGTTTGAGATTCCTTTCTGGCATTAATTGTCTTGACTGTAAGCTTAGCTGAGATCTTGAAGACTGGGCGAAACAGATTTGTGAAGACAGAGTTGAGTTCATTCATTGTTATATATAATTCTACTTATCAGGACAGCAAAGGATTCTAATACGTGCTTGTTCTACATTCATGAATAAAAATAACCTAAAAATAAAAGGCCAAAGTGAGAGGCAACAAGTGTTTATTTGTGATCAAAAAGAATTGCAATTCTGGGAAGCACTGATTCAGGCAGAAACTCAAATAGTGTTCCCATTAAGAGGTAAAGACAAGGGGTATTTATGAGGAAGGGAAGGTAAATAATTACATGATTAGAAGGAAGAAATTTCTATTGGTGCATCTAAGCTAAATTATTCTTTGGCTATCCACTGTGGTGTTCATTCTAAAGAATGTAACTCACTTTTAGTCCTGTAGTCAGGGTATCTGCTTTCCTGTTAGCTTTGTAAACAGTTGTTTGGAATACAATGTTGCTTTGGCCCAGTCCAAACGTTATTTTGCCCTGTTTGAACATTCCAAAGGTTTGAGAAGTAAGGCGCCCAAGGCAATTCCTCTGAGATGGCGTCTCCAATTCCATTTTATAATGGCAAGAGCCTAAAACAGGCTGATGTATTCATCTTCATAGTAAAAGAAAAATGTATAATTGCTGCAGAGATTAGAGACTTTACCTGAGGGCCCCTCCTGCTTGGAGTGGTCAGAACAGTGCCTGAGAGAATCTATGTTTTCTGTTCTTACAGTCAAAATATGTCCCCTTCCAAGTGACAAATATCCTCTTCAAATATATCTTAAATCTAATCATTGTTCAGTCATAAAGACCTAAAGTCAAACTGTAACTTTCTTATAATTTCTCTGGTCTCACTCTGATCCTCTGAGAGTCGAAATTATCATTTATCTCTCTGGGAGCAACTTTATTTGCAAGTTCTTGGAAAACAGGATGCTGTCATAGAACCGTGTGGATGGGTTGCTCTGGTGGGCCTCAGAGATGCAAGCTGCCTATGAAACCCCAGTGAGGCTGGATGGATAAATTATACATATCTTCATTCTGTTCATATATTAAAGGAATCTGTGGTCTTGATTAGGCCATGGTCAGTAGACAATAATTTAGTGGAAGATAGGTGACTAGAATCAGCACTTCATAAACTAGTTCTACAGCCGCCTTTTTACTCAAATATATTCATTGATCAAACTCAGGTAGTATGGTTTTCAACAGTGAAATAAGCTGGTGTAAAGTATGTTTCTAGATAGGAATATTAAATTTTTTTTCTATTGCTATTTGACACAAATCATCGAACCTCAAGCAGGTGGTGGAGATCTCTGCCCTCCCCCCATTCATGTTTCAATTGTGACCTCATCACTGACATCGTATCCCTAAGACTGACCCTGGAGAAGGGCAGCTGCCACCCTTATGGGAGCCAGGTGGCTGCAGGGCTACACTGGGAGGTGGGGTCTGTAGGACGTGGGTGAGAGGACATCACCGGACACCTACTGGGTCCCTGCCTCTACGTGTATTCAGTGCTACATCTAGGCTTCTACAGGTCCTCAGGTAGCCTTGATTCCACTCTCAAGGAAATATGGCACAGGCTAGAGAAGAAGCAGGTGACAGCCGCATGGTGTCTGGTCGGGAGCCATCATCACATACCATCAGAGTGTCTGTCAAGACCCCGCAGGACTGCCAGGAATTTATGCTGGCAGAAAATAGCAGCGTCCGTCACTTTAAGAAACAGATCTCCAAACGCCTTCACTGTGACACTGACCGACTAGTGCTTATCTTCACCGGAAAGATCCTCCGGGATCAAGACATACTGAGCCAACGTGGCATCCTTGACGGAACTACGGTTCACTTGGTGGTGAGGACTCGTGTGAAAGGAACTCTGCCCAGTCCTGGAACTCTGCCAGACCCCACAGGCCACTGCACACATCGTTCTGAACCCTCCAGCTCTGAGAGTGCTGGGATGCTAGCCAGGCTAGGCCAGCTAGTCCGGAGCTCACCTGATCTGGCTGACTTCTTTGGCCAACTGGCTCAACTCCTAATGGCTGCACCTGAACCCGTAGTGCAGTTCCTGGAAGACCCTCTGGTTCAAGGCCTGGCAAGTGAGAAACCAGCCAATACCAGCCATGTTCCTGAATCCTCAAGGCCAGTACAGAAACCTGAACCAGTTCCTAAGGCTCTAGAAAACTTGCAGAGCCCAGCCCGGCAACAGGAGCTCCTGCAGGCAGACCAGCGGGGACTAGAGGCCTTGAAGGCAGTGCCAGGTGGTGATAATGCCATGCGTCCGGTTGGCTCTGATATCCAGCAGCTCATGCTCTTTACTCTGGCCCCACTGGTTGCTTCCAAAGGCCACAACCCAGGTTCAGAACTTTGCAGAGAAGAGGTCAATGCTCACAGCAGTACTGACACCACCACTGCTGTCCCCACAGCCTCCACCTCTGCCAGGCCATTGATGCAGGAGGTCAGTGCAGGAGTAGCTGCTCAGTCCAGGGGCATGTTCTCAAACCAGGTCAATTCAGGGTGCAGGACCGGTATGCCGGACTCATACTCAGGTCAGGATCTTTCCCCTGATGATGGCCAGCAGCCCATAGGGAAAGCCACTTTAACCAGTCAGCTGAGACCCTCACCCTCTGCCTTGCGTAGAGCTTTGCATGTCCTCCAGCAAAATCCAGCTCTGCTACACCAGCTGGCCACTGGCAGCCCCCTGCGACATCATATACCACTTCTTCCCATCCTCACGAACCCACGAGCACTGCAGGCATTGATACAGATAGAAAAGGGCCTGCAGATACTGTCTAGGGAGGTGCCTGGGCTGGGACCTTGTTTATGGGGCCCAGGTAGACCACATGGGGCTACAGGAGCCCCTGAAACCAGGGGTGGAGGACAGGGTCACAGAGCCGACCCTGTGCAACCCACTTTGGCCGTTCTTCAGCTCCTTCATGCACTGGCCAATGCCTGCTCTCAGTCTACCCAATCCCCACTCTTCTCATCCCCTCATACTGAAGGCCGCTACCAGCAAGAACTGGAGCATCTGAAGGCCATGGGCTTTGCTAATCATGATGCTAACCTGCAGGCCCTGATGGCCACAGGCGGAGACATCCATGCTGCCACTGAGAGGCTGCTGGGGGAACCAGAGGCTTAGGTTCCTCCAGCTGATGGCCACAAAGCACCACCCCATGGAGAGGGAGGAGAAGGAGGGGGAAAGGGAGGGGAGGGGTAGTAGCTTATTTTGAGAATTCCTCCCACTCAGATCATGTGCACACTGGAATAGCCCCTCCCTCACTGCCCAAGCCTGTTCTACATTAAAAAGATTGCTTGGATCTCATGTGTAATGTCGATTTTGGGGGTAGGCGGGCAAAGATAATTTTTTTTGGCGGTGGGGGGGGGGGATTGATCATGTTAAATGGTCTTGGGTGTGGGTTTCACCTCATACCTCAGAGTATGTCCTAAATTTGAACATGAAGTGGGAGAAATCCTGAGTTTTATTTCAGTATTTCGCTCCTGCTCAGCTGGCAACCTAGTTCCCCACTAACATTGCCACCATCACCACGAGCCATCTCTGTTCCAACTTTAGAGTCGCTCTGAAGAAATCGTGGCTTTTGGTCCCCCAAGAAGCCGTGACATTCTTTATGGACACTGAAAGTCACCCATTCTTTGATCGTGTTTCTGTCTTTAGGTCCAGTCTCTTGTTACTGTAGGAACGATTTTTAACTTCCCCTCTCATCCTTTGACATTTGCCTGTGCCAGGATCCTGTTCTGCGGTCCATCTCGACTACTTCTGAAGCTTTGTGCTCTCTTCCTATGCAGGCTTCTTCCCTTTATGCTGCATAATGCTTAATTCTGCCACCTTACCTGTTACTGACTTTTATCTTTCCTTTTATCTCTGTATTACTCGAAAGTGTCTGCCCTTCCAGTGATCATGTTTCAACATCGTCTGCGGAGACCTATCTCCAATATGGTGCAGAACTTTCTCAGAACTTTCATCCCTCATCTTCCCAAATTTTTCCTCATAATTTTATATAATGACTTTTCTTTCTTTAAGCTGCTTCATTTAAACTATTATCTTAACCACTGTCTTATAAAGTAGTGCTTCCAGAGAATTAATTTATTAATCCTTCAAAGAGTTTGGGCATTTCCCTGCTTCTTGCTCTTACTTTTATGTTCATGGTTTCTAAATCTGAGTCTGTTTGTACTTTCCACAGCTTACTAGCTCCCTTTGGGTGTCCCAGAGCAACCCCTGGCTGAGCATGTCTAAATATAGCTCAGCATCCTTCCCGTGACCTCCATTCCTACCTTAAGTCCTGTGTTCCCTATGTCTTAGTGATAAGTCTTCATTACTTTCCCAGTCCACTCATTCTCTTCTATAAACCTCTGCTCTGTCAGTGAGGTGACTCATAGCACAGGCAGATGGAGCATGCCCCATCTGGTTTATAACTTTCCCAAGGTTACATAGTTTGTGATTAACAGAGATGAAGAAATCCAAGATCCTTGATTCTAGAGTTTGGGCTCTTAGCTTTACACTGCCCCACAGACAGAATCAATCAGTTCTCATGAAGTTTTTACCGAACAGAGGCAGTGAGAATCCAAAGTATGAGGCAATAGTTTTTTGCAGAGAAAGTTTTTTTTTTCCTTAGTTAGCCAAAAAAAGAAACTGGAGACAAGGTTTAGATCAATCTGCCCTGGACAAAGGCTTGAAGGAAATATAAAGAACGAGGTTAAGAAGGGGCTATACATATTTATTAATTTTTAACTCGAGGGCTGGAATCAGATAGTTTTGGAACTAAGTCATCTAAAGTAAGGAATGAGGAAGGGGCAAGAGAGAACAAAGAAATTCCATTCTGGCTAAGTTTGATTAATCAGGTCTGTGTGTGTCCAAATTTTGTTCCTGCATCACATCTTTCTTCTTGATGGACCCCTTGCTTCTTAATGGGCTCCTGGTGGTAAAAGCAGTATCATTGCTACTTGAGTTCTGTGACTCTTGGTTCTACTGTGCTCTTAAGGTCAGCTTAGGGTCATTTAGCAGCTAACTGCACCTGCCTAAGTCTCTGGGACCAGTTCAATCTGGTGTGGTCTCGTGATCTCTGGAGTGCTGTAAGGAGGTCGGTTTTTATCTCCTGACAGACACTTAAAAAAAAAAAAATAGAGGAAAGAGAGAAAAAAAATAAAAGGAACAAAAAAGAAAAGGCTATTAGGGTCTGGTTGCAGTGCTAGGGTTCGGTTTCAAAAGTCAATGAGCAAAAAGTATATCTGTGCTGCCCTGACACAGGGTAAGGGACAAATGAGCTTTTCAACTTTTTAGGAGTTTAGAGTCTCATTTAGAGAGGAAAAGCTCAGAGAATAAACCAAATCATCATAAAGAAATTACCTACACCTACTTATAATAGGCATAAATTGAATGTCTTCCTCATTACTGTTATGTGTTATTAGCATATCAAAATCAAATATTGCAGCAGTCAAATATGCAGAGAGAGGTGGTAGAAATGATGCAGGGCTGCAAATTCCCCTGGTGGGGGCAGGGGCGCTGGACCAAGCCCTGCACCCAGAGAAGAAGAGGATGTAGAAAGAATTCAACACACACTCCAAAGTTAGTCAAAAGGAATGTTTATTGGAGAGGAGGTAACACTCCACAGTCAGCGCATAGTCTTCTCCCCATGGCAGAGAGTGAATCCAAGACACAGAGGGACAGAGACAATAGAGACGAGGACAGTGAGAGAGAGTGTAAAGACATTGAGAGTAAAGGCAGTGAGAGGGAATGAGAGAAAGATACAGGGAAGATCACCGAGTGTCCGGGATAATTCGATTTATATATCATTCTTTAGTTCCTGTAAACTACAATTTAAAGACTTTGTTTAATCATTTCCTTTGATATGGACATACAATGAAGAAAGGGAAGGGGAAGAGTATATAGTATGAAAAGGTAAAAATATGAAGGTGGAAGGCCTGCTGGCAGTTCCTAGCCTTTAATCCATAGGTTCCCTAGGTTTTAGCTATAGGGAATGAATGATTTTATTTGTGTAGGGCAGCTACTTAAAGACTGTTTTTCCTATTTCTCCTTCAGGGTGTGGGGAAATGGGTTGTTAGCAATCCCAGCAGAAATCTTCCTTAGTTCTACAGGTGTCCTCCTGGCCTGGGTGCAAGGCGGATCAGCATATTGCAGTCTCTGAAGATAGCTTGATTTAACATTTTAGTTCTCTTGCCTCTTCCCTACATTAGAAAGAGTTTCCTCATGTTCAAAGGAAAGGGTTTATTTTTCTTTTTTAATCCTGCATATAGGAGGGGGAGGGGCGTGGAGAGAGAGAGAGAGAGAGAGAGAGAGAGAGAGAGAGAGAGAGAGAGAGAGATCGAGAGAGAGAGAAGACAGACAGACCTGGGAGTAGTGCGATTGGTGACTTTGGGGAGAGCTTGGCAGGGTGGCTCCTCAGGGCCTCACCAGGGCTGAATCACTTAAAATCTAGTTCGTAGGGTCTCAGCACAAATTAAAAGAGCTGGACTTAGGGCACAAAGAAACAAGAATATCCAAGATGGCAGCATTCCCTGGTTAGGTCCATTGTAAACTCTTCTCTGCATTTTATCCATTGCACTGACTCATATGCCAAAGCGTGACACTTCTCAAAGTGGTCTAAGAGAAGGGTTGCTTAGGGCACTAGCAGGGCCAGGCTCACAGAGCTGGCTGAATCAGTTGCACGTGCTTGATGATTTGTGACTTCTGTCTATCCTCAAAAGTCTAATTCCTTTTACGTGTGGATTTAGGAATGGATGATCCTGAACACGGTGTTGTGGTGATCAGGGAAGTATCACCTGGGGACATATTGCTTTCTCCTGTTAACCGCTAACCCCACTTTACTTTAGTCTTGAGTTAAAACTGATTGAAGATTCTTGCCACACACACACACACACACACACACACACACACACAAACTCATGCACATGGCACAAGGACATTTTCAGAGCTGATGGATATGTTTCATACCTTGACTGTGGTCATAGCATCACAGGAGTGTGCATATGTCAAAACTCATCAACATGTACAGTGTTCGTATATCAATTTTACCTCAATATAGCTGTTAAAAAACTGATTGTGATTGATCTATCACTGTTTCAATACAAATTGATTTATAAAACCACATATTTTTTGATCTTGGTCTAGTTTTTGAGACCCCTAGCAATTTAATCTCACCCAGCTTCCTCTAGCGCTTCCAGCAATCCTTTTTGTTGGCTACTTCCTGCACAGTTGTCCTGTCTTGCTTTCTCTTCCACTCTCTGCTTTTTACCCTCATTGACAATACATGTAACAGTCCAGGTAAACAAAAAAGGAAGTTCTTTTGCTCTTTTTCCTCTGAGCTTTTCGGAGGCCACAGAGAGGACTGGCCCATGACAGCTTCCTGAGTGTGAACTTGCCTCTATAGCTAGACTTGGAGTTTTCCATGACCAGAACCGACAGTTCTCCTTTTGTTTCACCCATGGGCTTTATGATACTCTTTGGACTAATTGCATTGCTCAGTAAAAAAATCTTCTCTTCTTTATCCTGATCCTTGTGGATGTGCCTTCACCTGATCAGCCCAGTGTAATATAAAGTAAACAAAAATCAAGTTATTAAATATCTGTTGTGTGCCAGACACTCTGCTCGATACTTGATATACATTGTCATTACTCATCACAATAGCACAATGAAGACATCAGTCAATAATTTATTAATTCAACAAAGAATATGACACATACCTATATAGTCCACAACATTTTTTATTATATTTAATGAATACTTATTAACTATATGTCAGAAACTAACGAGACTCCTGCTGTGATAGTTTTAGAATGCTAATGAATAAATTGATCAAGAAGTAAATAGATAAACAGTACAGATTATTTTCAGTTATGCAGATATTTTTATTGAGCGCTTGATTTATGTTTGGCACAATAATAAACACTTTACTGAGGCTGTGGTAGATTAAGTGATATGCTTTAATTTATGCAGCAACTAGTAGATAGGGAAGTTGAAGCTTACTGCTATCTGGATCCAGATATCACATATCTTTCTATTATAAAATGCTGAATAATACATGAAATATTGTCCATATAAATGCATGACCTTAGGATTATTAACCTCTTTGAATCACAAGCTTTTAATTTAAAATGCAAATGATAACAACCATATTTTTGAGCCATTTCTAGTACTATATCTGTGGACTTATTTGTGTACTTTTTATTTAAAAAACTTTATTTTTCAACTACAGTTGACATTCAGTATGATTTTATATTAGTTTCAGGTGTACAGCATAGTGGTTAGACATTTATATTATTTATGAAGTGATCCCCACAATTAGTCTAGTGCCCACCTGGCCCTATACATAGTTACTACAATATTATTGACTGTATTTCCTATGCTGTGCTTACAGCCTCTTGACTATTTTGTTTATTTGTGTTTTTTAGAACTGAGGTTATTAAGGCAATAAAAGACTATTTAAAAAGGCACTTGGACCCTGAGCAGGCTCCCTTGAATCCTTAATAAGGAACTGCTTTTTGGCTATAATGAAAGGGACCTCAAAATGGAAGACCAAAGAGGTGGAGAAAATATAATTTTAATGAGCACTCTTTATATACCAAGCACTATGTAAATAGTTTAGAGTTGTTATGTGACATAGTTATAGCAATATAATATAAAACAGCTCTAAGTAAATTATAACATGGCTAATAATATTTAGAGAGGTTACACAACTTTCTCATATTTATTCATTGAGCATGTTATATGTTAGGCACTATCTTAAGTTTTTATATTTATGAATGTATTTCTTCACCACAACATTAAGAGTTAGATTTTATCATTATCCTCCATTTAACAGTTTGCCAAACTGTTCAAGGCCACAAAACTAGTAAATGGAGAAACCAAGATTCAAATCCAGGCACTCTGACTTTGGAACCTGTGTGCTTAATCACTAGTCAAAGTATTGGAACTCAGATTCCATCTACTTCATGTTCTTTCTCTTTCCTACTTAGACTCACAGTAGAATATCCCCGCCATGAAACCCAGACTCCTTTCAAGAACAAGAACTGAATTAGTCCTTCAGAAATCATAGATAATTTTGAGACAAAATTAAAAATATTACCTTTTTGGGCTATTCAGAGTTGCTCAAGGAGCCTCAGGAATAAGATATTTCAATGTGATTATTGATATCTCCAATTCATCTGTCCTTTCCTTGTCTTTCCAGAGCTTCCTTCCATGTAAATACATTCCTGTCATATCATAGGTCTTCATCCATGTAAATGCATCTAGACAGCTACCATACACATTTATTTTTCTCATTTCCAACCTTTGCTCAGAACTCATATTGAAATTTACCTCAAGTGAAGCAGTCTTAGAAGTCGATTTCGAATCTCCTCAGTCCTAGCCCCGTAGATGATTGGGTTGAGCACAGGAGGCACCAGCACACAGAGGTTAGCCAGAAAGATGTGCACATGCTTGGGGACTCGGTGTTGGCCAAAACGGTGGGTGAGAAAGGAGAAGAAGGCAGGAATGTAAAAGACCAGGATGACCCCAAGATGGGAGCCACAGGTACTCAGAGCCTTGTGCTGGGCATCACGGGATGGAAGACGAAAGACAGCACGGAGGATAAAGCCATAGGAAATAGTAATGAGAATAGAATCCAGACCCATGGCCAGCAGGGCCACAGTTAGCCCATAGATGATATTGACAGTGATGGTGGCACAGGCCAGTCGAGCAATGCCCATATGCTCGCAGTAAGTATGTGCCATGATGTGGTGCTGACAGTAGGGCAGTCGCCTCAACAGGAAGATGAAAGGGGAGACAATGGCCACACTACGGAGTAATCCAGCAAGGCCAATTCTGCTTATGACGGTATGGTTGAGGATGACTGTGTATCTCAATGGGTTGCAGATAGCCACATATCGATCAAAGGCCATGGCGAGGAGAACCGATGACTCCAGAGCATAGATAGAATGGACACAAAACATCTGCGCTAGACATCCACCAAAGGAAATCTCACCAGCATGGAGCCACAAAATGGCCAGCATTTTGGGCACAGTGGTTGAGCTGAGAGCTAGGTCGGTGAGTGAGAGAAGGCAAAGGAAGAGATACATGGGTGCATGCAGTGCATTGTCCATGGAGATGACCAGGATGAGGGCAGCATTCCCAGCCAGTGCTACTAGATACATGGCACAAAAGGGGACAGAAATCCAGATGTGGGCCCACTCCAGTCCTGGGATTCCCATCAGGAAGAGAGTGGCAGGGAGACTGTCATCACTGATGTTGGAAGCTGACATTTTGCCTGGAAAATAAAGGGCTCTATTCAAAGGGTGATGGTACATCTGTCCTGTAACAGTAGGTATTTGGTTCATTCACATAAAATCATTACCTACACATGCATAATCTATTTTAAACTGAGAAAAATATTTATTGTTATTAACTTGTTTAAGAATCTTCAAAGATACTCTTACATATAATCGATTTTTATCATCTGCCATTTTCTATGTTTGAATTCTGCGTTCCAAGCACCAAGCTAAGAATTTAAGCATTTGCCCTGTCTAAACCTTCCAGACTTACCTCCCACCACATCATTCACTCTTTTTTGTCCATATATAGCCAGAAAAATGTATTGCCTTTTTTAGTTTATGTTATTCTATTTGCCCAAGGAGTCTTTTTTATATTTTTTACCTCTCTATTTTTTAAATATCAAGCAAGTGTCATTGCTTTCCAGAAAACTTTCCTCTTTTATCTAGTCCTTAGTCATTTTTTTATATTTTTTATTTATTCATTATTTCAAAATCTTATTGAGCTAAGGACTATGTCTTTATACAATTGTAAATATCACACAAAAGGCTATGTCTATATCTAGAAATTTGGATCAGTATTCACTAAAAGATTTAATTCTGATAACTCTTAATAACATACCATTGACTTCTTGCCTTAATGGCATAATGTTTTGTTTACTTAATCTGTGTTTGTAACATATCTACTCAGATATACACCACATGGCTTATTTTTATATCTCATCCAAAATAACTTCAAAAAGTCTAGGCAACTTGGATACACTCAAATGTCTCATGATTGAATAGCTACAGTGTTTTGAATATACACTTGGGTACAATAGAAGAAAGCAAGAGATGCATCAGACGTGCCAGCTGGGGAGACAGCACTGCTAACTATGGCAAAGCCAACTCGAAGTACTGTATGCTCACCAGTGCAATGATTGGGTTAATGGCCAGATCAGATGTCACGTGCTGATGTGGCAGATTAAGAGAGTGAGTGTAGTGTCCTGGAGTTTACCAAAAGTAGACATCTTGGAAGAGTGAATTATTTTTTGTTGTAGAGAGCTAGTGTCAGGTACACCCTTCCTTAGTAGTATTGTATACCAAAAGAACCCTTTGTAGGATACCTGGAATCCTGAATTTTAGTCCTGATTCTGTCACAAGAGTGTTATATGACCTTGAGAAAATTCTTTTCTTTCTCTGGGAAGTGTGAATGTATCAAGAGCAACAACTCTGGAAGCCTAGACTCTTCTACCTGTTCACAATTTAGCATTTGACAAATCCAATGACCTTTTTGAGACTCAAATTTCTCATTTATAAATTGAGAATGACAACACCTGGCTTTCTTATCTCACACAGTGTTTTGCAGTTGAGAAAGAGTAAAGTATATGGAATTAAAAGTTTGGACACCAAAAATAATGCCCTCACCATTTTTACAAACTCTTTGACCCATAGCCTCATAAGAGAGTGATACAGAGTATAATAATCATTCTCACCTCTGTTTTGCCAAGTAGAAGTCCAAGTTCAGAGAAGTTAACTTATATAATCGAGATCACAAAACATGTTACTGTCAGAACTAAAATTAGGTTTCAGGTCTACTGATTCAAAGTTTGGTGTTATCATTCCACTTAACTGTCCATTTATATAACCAATACTTGAATTTCTATCTTTTCCTTCAAAGGCATTCTGATATCAGTTTCTGATGCTGCAATCACGTTACTCATATCGATTCAAAAGAGACATAAAAGTGGAGAGCCCCTCTGACTTGCCTGGGTACTTTCACTGATGGCTCCAGCTACTAGAGGAAAGAAGCTTGGGTGACAAAGACTAGAGAGCAGGAATCACTACTATCTTTTCTTTCTTGCCTACAAAGGGAGGTTTCAAATGGTTATTATAAGGAAACTGCTACTCTGAGCATCTGTGGATATCAGTACCAGAAAGATTACGTACAGGCAAGGCTGTTTTCCCAGATGATGAATGGGGAAAAGGCAGTGAGTTGGAGTACTGCTTTGGGTAGATGAGACATCCTCCCAAATTTGTCTCACTTCCCCTTGTTTTTGGGTTGTTATGATGGCTAAATTTCTGAGATCTCCCTCTGAGATGTAGTTCAAAATTAAACTGTGTTCTTTCTTTCGACACAGATTTTGGGGAATTTGATTTTTAAGAATTTTTAGGAATTTTAAGAACATACCTGTGTGAGTGACAGATGTTCACAAGTTGAGCACGCTGAGGTTGGAGCTCTTGGACGGGTGTCACATGTGAGTGTAAGGCTATGTGGGAGAGCGTGTAGTGGAGTAACAGCTTGTGCAGATGATGTATACCTGAGTGGAGTGTTTTGTTTAGGGCTGTGAAAGCTGTGTTTTTGTGCAGGTTGTATAGGTGTGATTTGGGGGATAATGAGCTGTGTTTTTGTGCAGGTTGTGTAGGTGTGATTTGGGGGATAATGAGTGTTGAAATGTCTGGATTGAAATGTGTAATTTGTCCTCAGTTTTGTGAGCTCAATGAGTATCTTTAGTTTAGCTCTGGTTGCAGCCTCTTTTGGTCAAGGAGCTGGATAAGTGAGGTTATTTGTTGACTCTCTGTGACACTCAGGTATGAAAACCCAAGGGGCATGATCTAGGGATTTGAGTCTTGGTGTTTGTTCTTATAAAGGGAATAAGGAGAGATTGAAAAGGGGAGGAAGAAATGTGGAAGGAAAATTTTTCACAGGGAATTTTCAAGAGAAGTGGAAATAAAATCTAGTAATATTTATGTTTCTCTTCCCTTCTCTTACTTTCTCTCCTCTGCTCTTTTTTTCCCTTTCCTCCTTAACACCGTGCATCTCACTGAATTTCCAAACATCATGGATTCATGGTATTTTGTGTGCATCTATATGGGGCATCTACATGCTATATGCAAATACGGTGCAAGAAATGGCTGTGGGCATTCTTATATTCTATTGTCCCACTATTCTTCATTTCATAAAACTTAAATTCAGAAATAAATTACTAAGAATTTCAAGAACATGTCAGCAGGACATTCAACCAAACACAGAACACTCCTGAGAATGAGCCTTATGCTGCTGGCTAGATTTCATGTCCATGAAGTTAGCCCTGGGAGCAAACATCAGTCTTCTAGCCAGATATGTCTCATATCTGGTGACATGAGACATACATCAAGCTTTTGCACCAAATGATTCCTTCAATCAAAGCCTTCAAAGTACTACACTCTTTTACCTTTTATATACAGTAGTCTGCCTTTATTTACAGGAGATATATTCCGAGACCTCCTGCGGATGCTTGAAACCACAGATAGTACTGAACCCTATATGTATTACGGTTTTCCCTATACGTATCTATCTACCCGTGATAAAGCTTAAACTACTCTTGAGAATTGGAGAAATTATTAAGAAAAATAAGGGTTACTTGAACACAGGCACTGTGATAGTGCTACTGTCAATCTGATAACCAAGATGGTTACTAAGTGACCAATGGGCAAGTAGGGTATACAGTGTAGACATGCTGGACAAAGGGATAATTCAAGTCCCCAGTGGACAGAGTAGGATGGTGCAAGATTTTGTCATGCTACTCAGAACTGTGCACAATTTTAAACTTATGAATTGTTTATTTCTGGAATTTTCCATTTAATAATTTCAGATCACAGTTGACCACAGGTAACTGAAACCACAGAAAGCAAAACCACGAATAAGGGAGCACTACTGTACCTATCAAATGAGTGGTCTTTAAATCTTTTGCCTGGGTATTTTCTAAAATTATTTTGAAATAGTATATGCCCCCTCAAAAACATTAAGTTAACATCTAAAAATTACCATTTAATATTTAAATAGTAGAAGAGGATATAATGTGCAGTGTATTGCAAATACTGATATTTTAAAATAAAATTACCACCTAAGTCTTTTAATTGTATTCTATGGAGCTTTGTTTTAGAATGATGAAAATGTTCTGAAATCAGATATTGGTGATGATTGCACAATTATGTAAATACACTAAAAACTATTAAAGGTAATTATCACCTTCTCTGTCTTTTTTTGTACACTTAACTGAATTTTGTGGTATGTGAATTATATATTAATTATAAATTAAAAAAAATTATAGAATCATGTAATCACTGAAACTTAAAAGTGCAACCGCCTGGGACCCATCTATGTGACACTATATATAAAGCAGATGAAAGCTCTGGATTTGGGGAGGGGCTACTGAGGAAAGAGTCCAGTTGTTTCCCAGATCTTAGTTGATGGTCTTATCAGAAAGTAAAAAGTTTACAGTCACAAGGATGAAGAGATTGATTTTACTTCTTTTTTTTCCTTTTTTTTTTTTCTCTAATTCTAAGGGAGGTTGCAGGAGAGAGAGGCAAAGGCAGAGAGACAATCAATTAAATAAAAAAGAAGGAAAGAACTGGCAGGAAAAAAAAGACAGAGAAGGTAATAATTAATGGGTAGATGAGGCATGTAACATGGTCTTTGCTGAATAAAAATTATTAGGTTTTGTTGAAAATGTTAAGTGAATAAATGAATGGTCTATGTTTGAATGCAGCTTGGCCACTCAGTAGTATTATAACTTTGAACCTAATTTGACCTTCTGGGGACTCCCTTTTATTATCCATAAAATGAGTAAAGAGTATTTCCCTATAAATTTTTTTCTGCTCTTTTTTTGAATTTTTTTTTAAAAAAATTTATTTATTTTTATTTGTTATGGTGACATTGGTTAATGAAATCCAATAAGTTTCAGCTGTACATTTTAACAGTAAGGCATATATATATTTACACTGTGTGTTCACCTCTCATAGTAAGATTTCTTTCTGTCACCACATATTTGACCCCTTTTACTCCATCTACTTCTCCTCTCCCCCTCCCCACTCTCCTCTGTTAACCACTAGTCTATTGTCCATGTTCACGAGTCTCTGTTTGTTTGTCATGTTCATTTGTTGCTTTTAGGTTTATATCCCACATATACAATGGAATATTACTCAGCCATAAGAAGAGATGAAATACTGCCATTTGTGACAACACGGATGGA